AATAAGAGGCTTGAGCAAGGAAGGACTCAAGTCAAAAGTCGGACTGAAAACACTTTGGCCACCACGAACAGAAACAGTCTGGCCGGACACACTCCTGTTCTGGAACATTCCTCGGTTTGGTGTTGCTACACCAGCAGCGGCGAATACTGCACCGAAAGGCTGAGCCCTATCAGAGTCATCGCTCTGTAGCTGACTGGCAGTCACATCCCCCATGCTTAACGCATCAGCTACATTATGTTCGCCTTTGAGGTATTCCCACTTAAACACCCTAAAGCGCTGAATGAATTCTGACCAACGTGCTTGTTGCCGTGACAGACTAGGTTGCGTCTGGAAGAATGTGTTTGACACGCGGTCTGTAAAAATAGTAACCTGAGCTCCTTCCAGATAGCACCGCCACACCCGTAAAGCATGAACAACATCCAACAACTCCTTCTCTGTGACTATGTAATTAAGCTCTGCCGAGTTTAACTTACGAGACTCAAATGCAATAGGATAACCCTCTTGCAACAGAACAGCACCAAGACCATAGTCGGAAGCATCCGTAATAACTTCATAGGGCTTCTTCTCATCAGGGGTCCTAAGCAACGGAGCTTTAGCTAGACTATGTTTAAGCTTCTCAAAAGCATCTTGACACCGCCCAGTCCAATCCCAGCCAACAGACTTTTTCGTCAAGTTCGTAAGAAGAGTAGTGATCTATGAACTATTCGTGTGATCTATGAACTCGCGAAAATAGTTACAGAGCCCCAGAAACGAACGCACGTCGTGAACGTTCTTAGGCACAGGCCAAGACTGAACAGCACTGACTTTCTTGGGATCTGGACGAATGCCCTGTGCATTTACAATATGCCCCAAATACTGAATCTCAGTCTGAGCGAAGCGGGATTTAGCCTTTGTCACGTAAAACTGTTCGCAACATAGAACATCCATAACAAGACGCACGTGCGCTTGATGCTCTTCTTCAAAGTTCGGAAAGATCAAAATGCCGTCAAGATACACGACGACAAACTTCTTCAGATAAGGAGAGAAGATTGAATTCATAACAATCTAAAACGTCGCCGGAGCATTCGTCAGACCCTCAATCAAGACCTTGAACTGAAAATGTTCGAAAGGCGTACGAAAAGCTGTCTTCGGACGATCTTCCTCAGAGATTACAATCTGGTGATAACCTGACGTCAGATCCAAAGAGGTGAAGTACTGTGAGCCACTCACATCATTTAACAGATCGTCAACGCGAGGAATCGTATAGCGATTCTTCACAGTTATCGAGTTTGAAGCACGATAATCAACACACAGACGAAGACCGCGCCCGTTAGGCTTAGGGACAAACAATACAGGAGCACCATACGGAGACTGGGAAACTTCCAGAATTTCAGCCTTCAAAAACGTGGTGACCTGCTTTTCCAACTCACGATATTCCAACGGAGATAAACGGTATATCTGCCGAAACGTAGGCGGATGCCCTGGCTCTGTAGGATTACTATGACCTTCTGCACGCTCAGGAGGCAGACCAACCGGCAAAGGATCCTGAAACACACCAGAAAACCCAGAAATCAAATCAGAAACCCATTTCTTCTCACTTGACACTGGCCCGGGGTCGCTCGGTTGGACTGGTTGGACGGTTGGCCACATCAGGGTCGCATACTCCCCGAGCTCTTTGAGAGTTGCCCAACGCTGACTAGTGGGGGACGTCCGACACATCTCCCTCAGGTCAGGCTGCAGTCCAGACTCATACCTCTCGATCTTGACAGCCTCATCAGTGATCTCCTTACGCAGATTAACCATAGCCTGGTTAAACTCCACATTGTACTCCTCCACACTCTTGGATCCCTGGAACAACTTGTTCCAGGTGTCCCAATAGGACTGAATGGGGGTACGTAGACCATAGCTCCTGATCATGGTCTCTTGGAAGTACTGACGAGCAATCTCAGCAAAGTTCCCTGTGTTGGCAGCATCCCCAGGATACGCTCCAGGGTTAGCTGCCTGCCACGCCTCCCACTGAGAGATCCAATAGGACCTTGGCTTCCCATTCAGGTAGGGAGACGCCAACCCGAGATAATCCGCATTGGGAGTAGCGGCAAGATACTCCTCAATCATTGGCAACCACTGCCGAATATTATGATCACTCTCCTTGTTCTCGAACTTCGAGGGAGGAGCGGCACCAACAACATTGGCTGCAGTTGCAGCAGCTTGAGCCGCATTAGCCACATTCTGAGGCTATTGCAACTGATTGGCAATCGCATTCGTGCGAGCAGTATTACGGTTGTTCTGCTTCATCAGAACAGACACCCGAACTGGGTCACTTCCAGGGACGATAGCCTGAGCAAAAAATTTGGGCTGCCTCATTAGGAAGACCATTCCAGTACGCATCAAACACGGCAATCGTACAAGTCGTATAGTTTGGTGCTGGTCCAACAGGTGCTGGGGGAACAACCCCCCTTCCTCCAGCAGCAGCTTGTGTGACCCCAAATTCTTCAGAGTCAACAGACTGATCCCTCACTACTCTCCTAAGTGGAGTAACGTAGACCGCCTGAGAGCTAGACCTAGCAACCTGACTGTAAGTAGGTGCAATTTCAACACTCTCAGAAGGCAAAATAAGAACACTTACCCAATCCTCAGAGACATCAGACTTGCTTCCCTGACCTCCCGAAACCTGCTCCTTCCCCTTACTTGCAGGAGTAAACGCAGGGGCCTCCGGGCTCAATGCACCGGTGGAAGGCTTCCCAACCTCCCCTTCAGAGCCGCCACTTCCCAACTCCGAAATGGTGAAACACAGATCCGTAATTCTGTCAAGAAAAGACGCAAGGCGCTCCTCCTTCGACATGGACCCCTTCTCCCAATCTCTGCGAAGAGACCAGAACTCTACCCTCTGACACCACTGTGACGGTTGGCCAGCTTAAGCGAAGTGCTGGCAAGATAACTACGAAACACTAACGACAGCCATGTGCGG